AGTCCATGCTGCAGACTGTAGTCTTTAATCTTCATCAGTAAGTGCTTCATGTCATCTTCACTTTCAGCAAGCAAGGTTGTGTCATCTGCATATTGCAGGTTGTTAATGAGTCTTCCTCCAATCCTGATGCCATGTTCTTCTTCATATAGTCCAACTTCTTGGATTATTTGTTCAGCATTCAGATTGAGTAAGTATGGTGAAAGGATACAACCCTGACGTACACCATTCCTGATTTTAAAATATGCAGTATCCCCTTGTTCTGTTCAAACGACAGCCTCTTGGTCTATGTACAGGTTCCTCATGAGCACAATTAAGTGTTCTGGAATTCTCATTCTTCCCAATGTTATCCATAACTTGTTATGATCCAGATATGCCTTTGCATAGTTAATAAAACACAGGTAGACATCTTTCTGGTATTCTTTGCTTTCGGCCAAGATCCATCTGACATCAGCAATGATATCCCTCGTTCCATGTCCTCTTCTGAATCCAGCTTGCATTTCTGGAAGTTCTCTGTCAATATACTGCTGCAACTGTTTGTCATACTGTGGTGACTTCCATATTGCTGTGAGGCTAGAGGTTATGCCACCAGTATTTCAAATACCAGCAGGGTCACCCATGGTAGACAAGTTTCAGCAAAGCTTCCAGACGAAGACAGACTAGGAAGAAGGATAAGGCCAGCCAATTCTGAAAAAAACTGACTACTGAAAACCTTATGAATAACAGTGAAACACTGGTATATGGCTGGAGAACATTCTTAGTAAGAGACCTGTGATCTTGTTGGCACACAGTGTCTCTCACCCAGTGTCATTCTACCACCAGGCCCTACTATTCTGCTCAACTGCAGGAGAGGAAGAAAGTCTGTCCTTGAATCAAGCTATTTGCAGCCACTCAGCAGGAACCCTGGGGGCTTCCAGGGTCATGATGACCACTGAGAGCTGGGCAGCCGCTCTGCCACTGACATCCACACCAGGTAAGTGAACCTGAGCACCTGAGGATAGTACACTCTCTGCTATTTTCCATCATCTCTTGGAGTTCTCTAAAAATGAATAATAATAATAATAAACTAAACCCACTGCCATAGAATCAATTCTGACTCACAGTGACCTCCATTGGGTTTCTGAAGCAGTAAATCTTTACAGAAGTAGATTTCCCAGTCTTCCTTCAGTGGAGTGGCTGGTGGGTTTGAACCACCAACTTTCTGGTTAGTAGTCAAATGCTCTAGGCACTGCACCACCAGAACACCTTCTAAAAATGAACACAGGCTACTAAACCAAAATAGTCTCTTATTTTCTCTGTTTTAAAATATATCAATTTTCAAGTGAAGAGGCAGTTGAATGGGCAGTTGTTACAATACCAGCTAGCCAGTTGCTGGTGAGCCAATGCCAACCCAGGGCGCCCCCATGTGTCTGAGTGGAACTGTGCTGCACAGGGTTTTCAATGGCTGATGTTTTGGAAATAGGTCACCAGGCCTTTCTTCCAAGGTGCCTCTGGCTGGGTTTGAACTGCCAACCTTTCAGTTAATTGCTAATCTGTTAAACCGTTCACACCACCCAAGGATTCCATTGTTGTAACACTCTCTTATCAAGAATGCAGTCTAAGGATATGAGCCCACGAGTTCTTCATTCAGAAATCCCATTCCAGGCAATTACTTCCCCTGCGTTTCCTGTTCTCTTCATTTAATAAAGGAAGGATAAGGATGGTTACCGTAACATTGTAGCAGTTTATCAGCTGAGCACCTAGAGGATAGAGTACCAGGTTTTTTTTTGCAAAGGACCAGAGGGAAAACATTAGGTTTTGACAGCCATATGGTCTCTTTCGCAAATAGTCAATCGTGTAATGTGAATTCAGCCATAGACAAGTACGATTGTGTTTTAATAAAACTTTATTGACAAAATCAGGTGGTGGGTCCACATTCAGCATGTGGGCTATAGTTCATAAATCCCTGGTAGAGCAGGGAGGATTAAGTAAAACGAAATGTTGACTAGACTAACAACTAGGGGCAAAGTTCAAAGACGCACGTGGATAGTGAGGTGGTCATGACAACTCAGGACCAAAGATGTAAGTGTCCTAAGGTGGCCTTGTCACCAAGCGGTAGTGCGCAGGGCACGAGGGCGCGGGGGAGGTGGAGACAGGGAAATAGCCCTGGTAGGAGTCCTGGGCCTCAGAAAAGGAAGCCCCACTTTCTCCATTAGGTAGTTGAGGTGCACAAAATGTCGGGGTTGACTCTCTGTATTCAGAGTTCCTTGGACAATGTGCTCAGTCCTGTGTTTGAGTTGCTACTATGTACAACACCACCACGCGTCAGTTTGTCGTTCCATGGTGGCTTACTTGTTGCTGTGATACTGGAAGCTGTTGTTGTTGTTATTAGGTGTCGTCGAGTCATCTCTGACTCATAGCGACCTCATGCACAGCAGAATGAAACACTGCCTGGTCCTGTGCCAGCCCCATGATCCTTGCTATACCTGAGCCCATCGTTGCAGCCACTGTGTCAATCCATCTCGTTGAGGGCCTTCCCCTTTTTCTTGGACCCTCCACTTTGCCAAGCATGATATCCTTCTCCAGGGCATTATCCCTTCTTACAACATGACCAAAGGAGGTGAGACGAAGTCTGGCCATTCTCACTTCCAAGAAGCATTCCGGCTGCACTTCCTCCAGGACAGATTTATTAGTTCTTTTAGCAGTCCACGGCACTTTCAGCATTCTTCGCCAGCACCACAACTCAAAAGCATCAACTCTCCTTTGGTCTTTCTTATTCATTGTCCAGTTCTCACATGCATATGAGATGATTGAAAATACCATAGGTTATGCAAGTGTACTTTGGTCTTCAAGTAAACATCTTTGCTCTTCAGCACTTGAAAGAGGTCCTTTGCAGCTGATATGCCCAGTGTCAAATGTCGTCTGATGTCCTGACTGCTGCTTCCACTGGTATCAAGTGTAGAACCAAGCAATGTGAAGTCTTTGACAACTTCAATCTTTTCTCCATTTATTGTGATACTGCTTATAGGTCCAGTTGTGAGGATTTTTGTTTTCTTTATATTGAGATATAATCCATACTGCAGACTGAAGTCTTCAATCTTCATCAGTAAGTGCTTCAACTCATCCTCACTTTCAGCAAGCAAGATTGTATTGTCTGCATATCCCAGGTTATTAATGAGTCTTTCTCCAATACTGATGCTATGTTCTTCTTCAGAACACAATTCTCAGAACACATTCTCAGAAGACAATGAATAAGTCATTGGTCTTGCAAAGTTCTATCATGTGATCTCCAGAATTATTTCTATCTCCAAGGCCAAATTTTCTAACTACCAGTGATTCTTTTTTGTTTCCAACTTTTGCGTTCCAGTCACCAGTGATAATCAGCACATCTTGATTGTATGTTTGGTCAATTTCAGACTGCAAAAGTTGGTAAAAATCTACAATTTCCTCATCTCTGGATTTGGTGGTTGGTGTGTGAATTTGAATGATAGTAGTATTAACTGACTTTCCTTGTAGGTGTATGGATGGATATTATTCTATCACTGACAGTATTGTACTTCAGGATAGATTTTGACACATTCTTCATGACAATGAATGCCACACCATTCCTCTTCAATTTGTCATTCCTGGCATAGTAGATCATATGGTTATCTGATTCAAAATGGCCTAAACCAGTCCATTTCAGCTCACTAATGCCTAGGATATCAATCTTTTTGTGTTCCATTTCATTTTCGACAACTTCCAATTTTCCTAGATTCATCCTTCGGACATTCCATGTTCCGATTATCAATGGATGTTTGCAGCTATTTCTTCTCATATTGAGCCATGCCACTTCAGCAAACAGAGGCCCTGAAAGTTCTACTTTATCATATCATTAAGGTCGGCTCTACTCTGATGAAGCGGCTCTTTCCCAGTCATATTTTGAGTGTCTTCAACCTGAGGGGTTCATCTTCTGGCACCCTATTGGACAATGTTTCGGGGCTATTCATAACAACTTCCAGTAATATATCAGACAGTGTTTCCCTACTATTCATAAGGTTTCCCCTGGCCAGTTCTTTGAGAAGTGGATGGCCTCTTCCTTCTTCCAGTCTGTCTTGGTCTGGAAGCCCCACTGAAGCTGGTCCACCATGGGCACCCCTGCCGGCACAGCCTCCAGCCTCACAGCAACACGCAAGCCACCACAGTAGGACAAACCGACAGACAAGTTCATCTCCCTCAGCTGTTCCAACCGCTCCACTCACTTCCTGGGCTTCTCCCTCTCTGTTCAGGCTCCTGGCCCTGCCTACTGCTGCTCCCTGCCACCTGGGGGCTGTCACCTGCTGCCTGCCTTACCTGGAAGCTATACCACCAATATTTCAAATCCAAGCAGCACAGTGGATAGATTTCAGTGGAGCTTCCAGCCTAAGACAGACTAGGAAAAAGGCCTGAGGTCTACTTCTGAACATCAGCCAATGAAAATGGCTAGATCCCA